CTGAGCTGTGGTGTGCTGTTCTTGGTTTAGATACTCTCACAGATTGTGATTTCAGTCAAGAGAAAAGTAGAAAGGTGAGATTTACCTTTGAGTCCTTAAATAAGCTAGTTGAATTCTCTACCTCAGTTTCCCTATCTTTAGAAATTACATTGGTAATAACACTGACTTCTCCCAGGGTGTGAGTGGTGACAAATAACAGCTGTCCAAGCAACATTCCCACTATGCTTAAAAAAAAGCTTTATTATTACTAGGACTCTCTGGAGAGCCAGATGCTGAAAACTAAACAGCAAGCACCATGCCTGCATCAGATGTAAAAAGCATGAAAAAAGAAAAAAGAAAAAAATTAATCCTTCTACAACTTGAATTCAAATGCAGGGGAGATCTCATTGTTTATAGTTGGTTAATTGGTAACATACAAAAACTCAGAGAAAAAGTGGAAATGTTGAAAAATGTTTTAGACCACAAGCCTCTTCTTTCAAATCAAAAACTAACAATAAATACATATTGTTAAAAATTAGTTTCAGAACAAATGAGAATACTTGCTATTACTTGGTGTCATTTATTTTGGTTTTCCATTTTTTTCCTTATGAGTTTTAACAAGCCAAATAGGTTTTTCCATTACTCTACCCACTCAGTCCCATGAGCAAACTTGTGCCAAGTTTTGTTTTCAGCCTGCAATTTAACTTGCTTTCTATTTCCTGAATATAAAACATTCTTCCTTGAAAAATGTTAGAGCACAGCAGTCTTTTGTTTATCTTATTTCAGCTCAAGACATCTCTATTATCGGTTCTGCTTATATAAACATATTCTAAAGTTTATTATCAACCTCATACATGGAATTCACTGCAAAATGCCAGCTGAGAAAAAGTTATTTTATAAGACTAAGATCCTTGAATTTGGTTAATTTCCCCTTATTGCTCCTACCCAGAGGTTTAATATTTCCTAACTTTATTTAAAACCTGTCACTGTAGGGTTAACAGAGCAGTGAAATCTACTGTCGTAGATAACCCACCGCTCCTCCCTGCTGAAGGTAGACAGTGCACTAGGGCAAGACTTTGAAGTCAAAAAAAAAAGAGACATAGTCTCTCATTTCTAAAACTCATGGTGGTGTAATCAGCTCCTACCACAACAAAAGAAGGTAGCCCCATGCTGATGCACTGCCTGTGTGTGGTGAGCTGTGCATGTTTTTGTTGTTTAGTCTTTGTCCCCAGATGCTGCTTGGGATGAGCAGAACTTTGCATGCAATGTCCTTTGATTTCAGTGCCACTAAAAGGGTGATCAGGTCCTAAGTATTATTTTGCACCAAGTTTATTTGCAAATGCAAAGACTTTTGTCTCTCAAGTAACAATAAGGAGAAGAAAAGGGTAGTGAAATATTAGTGTGAGAATCTCAGCCTGTAGAAAACCATAAGACCTGGTAAAAACCTAACAAGAGCACTACAAGAACAACAGTAAGGATTTTTTAAAATTGCATATAAAAGTGTACCAAAATATCACCCAAGCAAGAAGAAAAGCAAAATGCTCACTCTGTTATTCTACTGCTAGATTTTATCACTAGAAACCTCAAAGGCCATTAGTAATTTAGTCTGATAGGTGCACTCCTACAACCACCAGCAAAGACAATGGAATTATGTATATTCCTTCTGCCACTGGGTAGCATCTAAACTCAGAGTGTTATAATACATATGTTCTTGGAAGAGACCAAAATAATACAAAATGCCAAGAGTGTACTATGAAACTTGTGAGTGTGTGTTGTCTTGCGCTTAAGTATAAGGGTAAATAAATTTGCTAAAACTGAGTTTCAGGTCCTCAGCCAGCTTGCAGGGAAATAGTTCTGTTTTATTCTACCTGGTGGTTAAGTCCACAGAGCAGGGTGAGCTGATGCCTCAAAACAGGCCTGCATCCTGGTCCTGCTTGGGTACAGACCAGAATCCTCTGTGCTTACTAGGGATCAAAAGAGATGTTTCAGTGGCAGGAAAGCAGTCTCTTTGAGTGGAAATGCACAGAGAGTGTTTAATTTTAACAGAAAATAATGGCATTGGCAGTGGTCACCTGCACTGCTTCTGTGCTCATCTTGCTTTTTACACAGTAGTCAGACATGAAAAGGGGTATCTGGGATCACAAAACTTGTCTACCCATGGAAGCAGGAGAAGCCCCATACTTGGATGCACAACTGACACTTCTCTGAGACTGAGAAGGCCTGCTCATGTTGTGGGTAACACAAGTGGGAAGATCCTTTGTACTCACTTCAGAGGGAGATGAATTATGAAAAGTTAAAGCACAAAGTTTTTTCCTCCTTTCTATCTGGCCAGCACTGATGTCAGGTCCCTGGAGTAATTTTCCTGTAGTCAGTGCCATTGGGTTCCTTCTCTTCCTGAGCCAGCATGTTTCTGCTTCCGAGTGATGATGTTCAGACACCATGCCAGTAAAGCTCTGAGATCACCACTGGATCAACATATGAAAGCAAAGTATCATTCTGTTTTTAATTAATAAGTGAGGCGATGGGTTTAAATAGTGTAAAAGAAAAGGACTTGATAATGCTTTCATTTTCTGAGTATAAATGGCTAATCTGTGGTATAGATCATCAAAGGATGAGGAATTTCATTATTTCAAAATGAAATGTGAAGGAAAAGGAGAAAATAAATATTTAAGACCATCTCACAAGCTCCTGGAAATAAACTGTTTTATTCTATTTAAAGGAAAATAAGTACTATACTTCTCAGGTTCCACCTTTACTAATTTGAATAGGCTATTTTGCTTTTCAACTGAAAGACAGATTTGGGAGCCATTGTAGAAATTGCAAGGATTAAAAACAAATTCAGGTAGCATTTACCTTTAGCTAGGTGAGCTTATGGTCTTTCTGATTTCAAAGCAGCATAGCATTATCAGCCATATAATTTGAAATATATTTGCTTCCAGACTGAGCTTATAAGACTTTGTTAGGTACACATGCAAACATTTTTATACCCAAAGAATAGTTTGCAAAATACCAGCATACACCTTTCCTCTCTAGCATAACCAATTACATTTTGGAAAGCTTCTGTCCAACCACAAAATTTATGCTTGAAAAAAGAAACACCTAGAAAAAGGTATTTGCCTCCTTAATTCACCCATCAGGAATCAGGTCCCCAAACGTCAGATTCATTCTGATGCTAAATATCCTACTGTATAAATAGGAATGTGTTTACTCCAGCCTGAGCTATACAAAAGGCTGTAGCTAGGTTCAGTCTGCTTAGATTGTCAAATCTGAAATGTTTTAAATCTCTCTAAAATTGCAGATTTTTTTTTTTTTTTATTTACTGCCTATTTTATTACCAGGAAAAAATAAAAAGGTTGGCTTCCCTTATCTATATTTTTTTTCAAACTTGGAAAATATTAGTGGCATCCCTAATCTGTTGCTCTTTGAGCCATTTAAATAATTAGCAGGATGCAATGAAACACTAGGTCCCTGGTGAGACACTAGAGCAGGTTGCCCAGAGGGGCAGTAGATGCCCCATCCCTGGAAGCATTCAGGTTGGATGAGGCTCTGAGCAACCTGACTTAGTGGAGGATGCACATTGCAGAAGAGTTTGGAATAGATGGCTTTTATATAATCCTCTATGTCTCTTTCAACCCAAACTATTCTAATACTATGATTCTCTGAGAACATAATGACACTTTTTTTTCTACAGTGTGCCCAGGAATTCAAGCACTATGTGACCATGACTCCAAGGTCTGCTAGTTCCCTGATAATGGAAGTCCCAGATAAAGAACAAAACACTGATACTTGCAATGGCATCCTCTCTGTTTTAGGAGGGGAAAGTGCCTGGATTCTTCCTCTCAAACTATACATCAGTTTCTGGGAAGCAGAAGACATGTAATGCTCTTTCAGCTAGGCAGAACTTTCTGAGAGCACCAGCAGTCTCTGTGTAGATGTGAAAGAATGTCATCTTTATCACACAGCTTCCTAACCTGTGCTGGCTTCTGCAAAAAGCACTCTGGCATCAGGAGACTCCTTTGTGCTTACAAATGGGCGCTCCCACATAATGCTGTAAAATTTCAGCACGAGGCAAATGGTATGGACCCAATACTTGCAGAATCTCTGGCCTATTCATTCCTTGTGTAGTTTTACTGAGGATGGAAAAGAAAGGCATCTGAAAACATAATTTCTATACACCTGGGGAAAGTTAGGTAAAGATGTAAAACCAGAAATCCTTTCTCACACTATAAACATAGGCCATTAGCTGATGAACACCTAATCTTTTTCCAGTTTCTGATAGATTCCTTTGTGGAATAAAATAAGAGAAAGCAGCTATGTATTTTTTGATCATTATTTTTTATTATATTTTACACATTTGCACAGTGGCTGATCTCTAGTTTAACTGGGAGGTGTCTAAACATACCATACTTTGGCCCATGATGCACCAGCACAAGGCTGCAGAGTGTTTCAGGAGCATAAGGGGGAAAAGTAAGGAGGCAACCCTATAATAGATGCTTTCACCTGGTCCAGTCTCTTTGTAGGGTTTTGATTTCTAGATTTCACTTTCACTTTATGTATTTTCGCAGCTAATAGATTTCACTTTTTTAAAATTACAACAAAAACAATCTAAAAATTACTAATAATCCACTGTAGTTTACACAAATAGAAGGAGGAGACTGTAAGGTCTATCTCTGTCTGTGTATTAAAAAGCATTTTCCTGTACGCTGGTATGCTGCGATCGGTAACTTTCCCTGTAGCATCTCTTCTAGAATGGCAAGACTGATTTGCAGCCCCCAAAAGACATCAAATCTACCACTTCCTTTATTAGCTCCTGCTAATGGTGAATAACTCTAACAATCGAGGAAAACTGTTTTCCAGCCTGATTTCACACCTTTGTGCCTGTGCAGGGAGGGAGGGAGGGAGGGAGGGATAGTTTTTTTCAAAAAATGTTATTTTTCTAGTGTGCATAATCTAAGGCATCTTCAGCCACTGTAAAAGGTAAGAGTAACTTAAAAAATCAGACTAAATCACTCTGCACCCCTGACCAAACACTGGTAAGAGTGTATTTTCCCTGATTCCATGAAGAACAAAGCACAGACTGCCACCACTGTAGTATTTAGTTCAGCATTATTATTTCATGAGTGCACCTTCAAAGAACCTGCTCAGGGCTGGAATTCATATTCTGCTAGTCTCATTGGGGCTGAATGCTTATGGAGGAGGGGAAACAGGAATCAAAAACCGCTAAGAGGTGACACAGCCTGTCCCAACATGGAATGCACTCAGAGTTGATGGTGGGGCCACTGTCCTCCCAGCTCTTCACTTTCCTCAGAAATTTACACCAGAGCTACTATTGAACCACAAACTCACAAATGGGAACACTATGTCCCCTTATATTTCATTTAAATGAGCTGGTTCAGTGAAGCCAATTGAGAGTTCTAAAAACTTCAATAATTATTTTTGTTCTTCTTTCTGAAAACACATGATTGAAGTGCAACGTTTTCACAGCATGAACATAATTTAAATTTCTGTCTTTGAAAAAATTCGAACTGGAGTACAAAAAATAACCCTTAAAATATCTCTAGCCTCAGTAATGAAAATCCCAGATACTAAACACTCTTAAGCAAAAATGTGTCCACTTTTAAAATGGATTTAATCTGACCTTACTGCTGTAATTTTAGATAGTGTCACAGGATGTTTCTCCCTAGATATGTAGTGCTTAAGAAGAAACAGAGACTCAAATTCTGGTTGCAAAGTTCTGGGCTTTTGAACATGAAAAGGAAATACTAAAGATTTACTATCTTCCTAAGCCACTGTTTTGCATGTGAAAAAATAGAAAAGATTCATGACAGGAGTTTGATTCCTTTAAAAATACATATATGAATAATACAGCAAGATCTTATCCTGAACAGCAAGCTGTTCAGCAAAAAAAGTTGTATGTATATGTATGTACATGTCTTGACTTCCATATAAACATGTAAAATTGCTTGTAATTAGATGAATTCCAATTAAGATCCCAAGCCAGAAAAACAAATGTGCTTGATGTTCCTCATACATTCTTATTTTGGTTTTTTTTCTGTCCATCCTTATACAACAATGCTTTTCCTTTTCATTGGACTGTCCATTCAGTCAATGATGACAAAGCAAACTGAGATGAAAGTAAAAATTGGTCCATGTGATTCCCTGATGCTCCTCTCCTAGATCTTCAGGTTGGACAAACAGCTATTACTAGTGGGCCATGAAAAAATGTGGGAAACAGATAATTTTCTGCAATATCAAGTTATGCAGGCACATCACACCATACATTAATACATGTTCAGAGTCTGACAACAAAATTTTCCCCAAGAGAATATTGCTTTCATTGGTTATTCCTTTCCTAACTGCAAAAAGAACAAAATCAAGGGTTGAGGGAGTCTGACTGCTGTTTAGAAAGAAAATTTTTTTTATCATTGATATAATTTTTTATCATTGATTATCATTTTTTATCATTTATTATCATTTATCATATCATTACCTGTGAAAGATATCAAATCCCAAGAAATGGTCAAATGGCTCTACAAATTCACTGTTCTTATTAATAAAATCTTCTACAGGGGTAAAACTGATATCAAATTCTGTCTACTAGCAATTGGAAAAGGCTTTCAGTGAAAAGAAAAAGTGAATTATTATCAAGGAATTTTTGGTTTAGTTGGGTTTTTTTTATATTCTTTTGTATCATCCTAGTGTTGGTTTCACAAGCTGAGGCACAGCAAAGGGCAAAAACAGCATCTGAAGAATTTGCTTGACCTGTCCAGAAAAATGGAACTGTTTACATCATGAAATCACAATTTGACCTTCTAACAAAATAACTTCCAGAAAAAACAACAATAAAAAACATACATACAAGAACAAACAAACAAACAAAATTAACCAAAAAAACAAGACCCCCCACCCTTGAACCCAGAGTCATCAGCTGTGAAGTAGCCAGTGAGAGAAGTGTTTCAAAAGTCGTTTAATGCCTTTCCCAGAAACTGGTCTTTGCAGGAGTAGGAGAACAGGAATGAAGAAGGTCAGAAAAAATGATGAAAGAGATTTGCAGTCTCTTTTTTTAATGTATTTTTACTCTTCCGTATCTGGAAAAAAAAATAATAAAAAAAATAGAGAAGTGTCAAATACTGCCTTTCTCCGCTTTGTCCAAGGGGTAAGTAGTAGGTAGTCTGGGAAAGTAAAATAAGGGTATCAGTTTAGACAGCCTTATTCTCTGCAAGCACTGAAGCTTTGCTTAACTCTTGAAAAGGGTACAGGGTGAGGCACGCCAAGGCAATACCTCTTACGGGCACAACTGGAAATACCATTCTGTCCTAAACAAATTGAAATCTTTTATGATCAGACTAATCCAGCTAGAATTCAAACTTAGGAATCAAAAAGATCACAAAACAGAGTCCAGCATGCTCAGATCAAGAGATTTTAATAGGTTTCTTTGCTGTAGGGCTTTCTGATCATCTTTGATCAACAGCTTTTTCAGTACCTTTTTGCTTATGAAGGCAAGGATATTGTACATGTGGTTTGAAATTAAGAAAAGGCTCCAAACACAAAAGAACATTACATTTTAAAAGCTCCTTTCTCCCACTGAGTTTTCAGTGAAAATCACAGCTTTAAGTATGGAGAAGCAACAAAGATGTAACAAAATATGTGCATTTTAAAAGCTGCTTGATGCCTCTGTCAAACATTTATAACCCCTTGGCCTCATAATTAGGCTGCATTTGACTAATATTATCCTGAATGTACAAACATAACTGTTTTCTGTGTAGCTATACTACATGTGCATCTTCACAACAAACGGATCTCCTTGAGAAAGTATAGACAAGGAAACCTTTGTGTTATTTCAAGTGAAAATGGGCTGTTTCTAATTGAAGAGGACAGCCTATTCAATTTGTCTCATAACCATCTCTAGAAATCCTCTGGAAAAGTTTCAGATAGGAACATTAATGTTTTGCCCTATATTGGCTGTTCTAACCAGCTCGCTGATTGCACCAGGCACCCTGTTTAGCTTCTGTTATTCTGACAATGCTTATATCAGCAGAGCTTGAAAGTGCATTTCAAAGAGTGTCTCAACCAAGGAGATTCAGCCCAAGGAGAGATGAATTTACCTGTAGGGCTGGGCATGCCTTGGAAGACATTATTGCATCAAAATATATTTTGGTCCCTTTCAGGAAACCAATTTATTTTGTGCTCAATAACATACTGACTTCTTTCTTTTTTTTTTTCTTTTTTTTTTTTAAATGGTATTTGGGCAAAGGAGAAAAATGCCTGCCAGAACAGAGATCTTTGCTGCTGGATTGCATTGTCTGTGATGAATATATACAGTGGCTGCACAGATCTACTAGTGAGTTGGTATCTTCTACCACAAAGATAGCAGGGGAACCTTTCCTTTCAGGATAGTCCCCTGTAAATTGCTACTATAAAATCTTGCTCACTGATGCAATTGACAACACCATTTTAAAGAATAAGGCTTTCAGCATTTTATTGGATTTATTTAGACTGAATTGTCACATTTCCAGCATAATCTACAATAGGCAACACTAACAGCCATAACAACACTATATTTCTGTGATGTTTCCCAACTAAAATATTCAGTCTGATTTACTGTCATTAACAGGATCGTAATAATCCTGTGACACTTTTACTTAGCCACATTTTTAAGAGAAAAGACTGACCAAGAAGGAAGGGTAATTATTTGAGGCAGGTGGACTAAATAACTTACTTGAGCAGTAAGTATTTCTGAACTTCTTAAAGGATTTGGATAATAACAGCAGGCATCTGAAACAGAACTCAGAATTCCACCTAACACATGCTGCTCTTCCTATGCCATCCACACTTACAAGAACTTTAACCCCTCCCATCCCTGCTAATGAAGCAAGGAAAAATGCAGCTTTAGTGAGCATGGTGACCAGGGGGAAGCTCAGCACTCCTGGGAAGCATAGAAATACCACAAGCTTTAGCTGAGGGCTAGAGGCTGGACTCAGGCCTCTTTCTCTCTGGGGGATCATAGGGCAGACGGCTGTGGTTTTGGTGCTGTACTGCTGTTGCCCAAAGGATTTGCTGCCACTGCCGAGTTTTGTCCTTCACTGCTTCTCCTTACCATGGGTGAGTCTCTGCTAGCAAGAGTGGTCATTGAACTGGGACCTTTCAACACCCAATCTCACTGGGGGGGACCCTCACCATGTACTTTCCTCACGGGAAACTCAGAACCCCAACCCCTTTTCCCTCTCTGGAGGGAGCATCTCCCGGCTGCTTGCAGGAGTCTGGCTGCTGTGGATATCCCCAGGACATCACACAGGAGATATGAGAGCCAGGAGAAAATCTGAAACAACACTCTACTCCACCTTCTCTCTCGTCCCAGGCTCATCCTGCCCCTGCTGTTTTCTGCCATTAATTTGGGTTTTTTTTGCTACACTTTAACTCAACACCACTCATCCACCTGGATTCGATTCCTGGGGCTCCTGCCACGGCTTTGCAGTTTTTGCTACACTTTGCCACCTTTGCAGTTGTCTCTGCTGTCTCGGCTGTTAAGCCTGCTGCTCCAAGGTTCCTGCTATGGGCCAGCTCACCACCCGGAGAGGCACTGAGACCAGCTGCTCCCCATAAAATTCACAAGGGGAGCCCCTTTTCCCTCCCTCTCGCCACCAGAGCCTCCATTGCCCATGTGGGGAGAGGCGGCCAGGCCCGCGCCACAGCGCCCCCTGCTGGCACGGGGGAGTCATCGCACCTGCCCTGCCTGGCCGGGAGCCACCAGCGCCCCCTGCCGGCTGTGCCCGGAACTGCACCGGAGGGGAAAGTGCCTGCGGCCCAGAGAAGGCGTCACTGGGCTTGTGCTGCTGCTCCTTCTGCTGCCCTTGTGGTTGTTTGTCTGCCTTGTTATACATATATAGTAAAGAGCTGTTATTCCTTTTCCCCTTATCTTTGCCTGAAAGCACCATAATGCCAAAGTTACAATAATTTGGAGGGAAGGAGTTATATTTTCCATCCCAGGAAGGTTTCCATCTTCCTTGGCAGGCACCTGTCTTTTAAACCAAGAAAGACACCTCCCAGTGGCATCCAGTGCTAGGTCAGGCTATCAGAACAAGACCAAGACCAAGCCCTATGGTTTTCAAATAGCATTAAAAGAAAACCCTCTTTTCTCTCCTTAAAAAACAAATGCTGAATGCAAACTCCAGGACAATGTGGACTAAGGATTCTTTGGTCAGGGGTTTTGACATTTTTTTCACAAACTATTTAGCCTGCTTGAATCCCTTTGAATGAAAGTGTTTGTGAGGTTCTTGCATGGTCCCTGTTTTCTCTGCTCAAATTTCTGAAGCATTATAACCATATTAATTCTGAAGGAGGCACAAGATGACAGCACAATTATCCATTACTATACTATTGAAAATATAGGGGAAAAAATGAGAGGTTATCTCACTTTTATTAAACTCAGATTCTCTTGTCACATTGCAATAAACGTGTGTAACACAGACTGTCAGTGTTACATCCTAAAATAGCAGATAGCAAAAGGGTTGCAGTTGAAGGAAAGTTCAATACACAAAGTTCATGTGCTATGACTCTTTAGCCTAGAAACAGAGCTCCAGAGAGAGTCTAATAAAAAGTAAATGAAATTATTAGTGGCACCAAGAATGTGAAAGGGAACAATAACTGTTTCTCACAACCCAAGAAGAAATTTACCATACAAACTTGTCAAACAGTAAATTTGAGAAGAATAAAAAGATATGATTTATCACATAATGCCTAAGTAAATTTTGAATTATGTTGCCACAGTTCCCAGTCCACAAAAGTATCAGAGCTCCAAAGATAATTACACAAAGTAATGGAAGAAAAATCCATCAGAGTGTATCCAAGTCAGAGATTTGACCTCTTCCTTGGCCCTCTAGAACACAGAAAATGGTAGTGGGGTATGCCCATTGCTCTGATTTTGGTTTTTGTTCATTAAGATTTCTGCTGTGAATGTTGTCATGCAGGTGATGGACAGCTAAAAGGACTTTTGGTCTAGCCCAGTAAGGTTGTTCAAGTGTTCATAGCAAAGCTGACATGCTGTTTGAAAGTAGCTTCTACCCCTACTAATTAAAAGCATAGGTTTTTAAAAATGAGATTATTTATTGCAAGCTCTGCTCCCCCACCAGAACCCAGCTACATCCAGCCACTGAGTGAAATGACAAAGAAGTTGCAAATTCTTGTACAGCCTTTGATATCATAAAACAATTACTACTGATGCAGTGCACAATGAGGTGAAATAGTAGTCTGAGTAACTGCATCTCACACAATCAATAATCCAGTCTTTCTCAAAGACTACAAATTACAGAAGTATTTGCAGTTACTGAGACAGATCACCAAATCTGCCACTTTAAATTCCTTTTTAATTCCTTTGTGGACTCACTCAGCATCCTGCAGGATGTAAAGGAATGACCATTTTTCTTCGTAAGCTTTTTCCCCCAAACCGGGGTATTTCTTTTCTCCCTGAATGCTAAAGTGATAGCATTAGTCATAATCTGCAGCTTTTCCATCTGAAAAACACCATTGAAGGTATTTCCACTGCTCAAAATAAAAGTAAGATGTTGAAATCTAAGTACTCAGTTCTCAGCACTGGATGGCCCTGTCTCCGATTAAACCCACTTGAAACCTTTTCAAATATAATTAAGACCATGAAGAAATAAGTTCTGTATAGTTATGGTATTTTCTTTCTTCCATTGCACCAGAGATGCAATGTTATGAGGGTTAAGAAGCAAAGTGTGGAAGATCAATGAAATAATGAAGAAATATGCATCATAAGTTATTTCATTTCTGTTATCAGTATGTCTAATGGATGAGAAATTTTGGAGTGATTATTTTTTTCAAAGAAAATAAAATGCTATTTGAAGGTGCTTGCATTCTCTCTAAAGCAAGGGAAAACAGGAATAAATGCTCTCGGGAAAAAGTTTTGAATACTTGTTCAGAAAGTGAATTTAAATAACATCACTCCAATTTAGCACATGACTCAAGTGCATAACATTAATTTTTCTATGAGAAGAAATAGCGTTAGCATAGAAAGTATCCTGGTTTTGGAGCTTTTGCACATAATTGTGCCTAAATCATTCATTCATGA